ACTGTCTTGACCTTGAGCAAGCTTGCTTAAAAATGCTTTGAACAAAGTCGGACTGACTCCGTTGTCCAAGTTCTCCATCAGCCCAAAAGAATTGTTGACCATATCTACAAGAGATGTCGCCCCCTCGTGACTTGTAAAGGCGATGATAAGTGGCACTTGCTTGAAATCTTTCTTTTTCCTCAAACTTTGGGGTGTATCAAGAAGGAAGTACTTGTCTACAACCGGTGCCCAGTAGAGATAATTAGAGAAGTCAAATTTGATTGACTCTGAGGCTTTCTGTATGTCTGAAGCTCTTTTGTTGTGTATGCAGGAAACCATTGCGTTGTGGTCGCTCGCACCACAGTTTAGTTTTTGCGCAAGCTCCTTAGCGACTCGAAGACCAAAAGACGTTGGCTGAACCGCAAAGGAACTTAAATCTACACCGCTCTCTGCAACGGCTTGATGAAAGAGATCACGTGACAGAGGTGATAGAAGAAGAAGACTCACGCTGGATCCGCCAGCGCTCTCTCCAAATATCGTGACCTTGTTGGGATTCCCACCAAAATTCATAATGTTTTCATTGATCCACTTCAGTGCTTCCACTTGATCCAACATTCCATAGTTACCAGGCGCCGCTGAATCACCGGTCGTCAAGAAACCAAAGGGACCTAGACGATACTGGATTATGACTACAACCACACCCTGAAGAGCCAAAAAATCGCTGGGAGAAGTGATCGCTGTTCCTATAATGTAGCCTCCACCGTGAATGTAAACCATCACTGGCAAACTAAGGCTGATGTTCGGGCTGTAGATATCAAGATATAAGCAATCCTCGCTGAAAGTGAAATTTGAAGTAAAAGGCTTGATAAAGTTTTCGGAAAGTTTGGACTGTAAGCAGACGCTTCCATGTGTCTTAGCCGAATAGACGTTTGGTTTCCATTCTTTTGGCGGTTTGGGGGCTTTAAACCTTAGCTCTCCAGTTGGTGGAGCGGCGAAAGGAACGCCAAGAAATTTGCTGACAGATTTGAACAGACCAGAGGCATTCGGATACGAAGTCACGAGACCCTCGATATCTCCATACTTAGTTGACACTGTTTGTGCTCGAACATGAAGCCAACATGCACAAAGGAGCAATAACGTTGCCAGTTGCATCTTCGAACACTTCTTCTTGTAGAGCTGTTTATTTTACCAAGATCAAAAAGCAGCAGGGATTGACTTGTTGACACTAGCTAAATGAGGGACAAATGAGCAATTCTAAATTAATTTTCATCTCCCAGCAGCGGGCCTTTTTAATCCTGACGTCATTCGAACAACATACACTATTTAAAGACCCCTTATTGGCTTTTTGTTCACCATGCAATATGACTGATGAAACATACTTCGCAAAATGTTAGAAGCTGGTTTACTAGAAACTGTAAAAAAAAGACCAGAAACTAAAGTAGTGCAAGCATCTTACCTTAACCGTGAATTACCTACAGTGTACCTTCTAAAACTTCTTTACTTTAATTAGTTTACTGCGTGATCGCCGATCGAGCGCTCGTCGGATTCGATGACTGCGCAATTTAGAAAACAATGGCAAGCTGACATGGGTCTAAATGATACAATTCATTAAGTGGGCAGTTTAATTAGAAATAAAACTCATATGAATACAGTATATCAAGACAGATCATGCAATCAGCAAAATCACTGACCCACCCATAACTGACATCATCCCCATCATTTTTATGCTAGCCGTTTCTTTTTTTTCAGAAGTCGTGCTTCTGAAGTATCGAGTTAACAGAATTTATATGCTCAGCTTTGGCTCAACAGTTCATTCAAACGCCGAACTTAATTTGATCGTGCTTGACCAGAAGGTCCATTATTCTTGACAGTATGATATAACATATGATGGCAGCCATCGACAAAACCTGGATTTCTGAGATCGCATCAATCCCTGAAGTCTCAAAATGACATGAGTTTAGGGCTACGGTTACAGGGCTCGTGGTACCTCATAGCGAATAATAATAGATCCCAAAATTTACTTGGCAAGCAAAGATACGATTAAAACGTCGCGCAAGCGTCAAGCTGATTTAAGGTTAAATCCGGAAGTGGGTTCGACCAAGGCTGTTTTGGAACCCCGGGGGGTGGGTACTGCCACATATGGGCTACATAGGTATGTGCGTCTGTGAAGGGTATGGTTTTTAAGCAGTTTACTCCGGGATAGGGTATATAAATCAGAGAGTTTGGGTCTAGAATGGGGTATCATTTTCCATGAAACAGATCAGTTGGTTGAAGATTTTAGTCTAGACTAGGGAAACCGGGAATTGCCTCTCAAAAATTTTAAAAAAATCAGAATCGGCAAGTTCAAATTTATGCAACTCAGCCTAAAAGGTACTCTAGGATAGGGGGGATTTGGAGAGTTTAGTCTAGTATAGGGCAGCGAAATTCCGCTGAACTAGCTCTGGTGTAGGCTAAGGGGTCCAGTTCCCAGCGGCACATCCCCACAATGACAAAAGTTTCGACTCGGGCCTAAGGTTACAGGGGTTGGTACTCAAAGCGAATACAGTAGAACCCCGATAACTCGAACTCGGATAATTCGAACTCCCTGCTAACCCGATCAAAAAGTCACTGAAATTTTCCCCGATAACTCGAATTAGGGTTCTTTTAACTACACTCGGATGCCATCCCATTTGCTCTTCTTGTTGTAAAGGGTCTGAAAACACTGAAATTAACACTGGTCACTATTAAAGGCAATTTGATTTAAAGTGGTAAAACGAACAGATCACGTTTTATCATAAAAGTGCTTCATCATGTTATCGTACTGTTTCTAATGAAATAATTAAATTTGTGCTCCACCATACACTGAAGCACTGAGAAAATCAGTAAATATCAATTTCTAACATGGCATATTGAATTTTTCAATCGACCCCGATAACTCGAACCCTCGCTAGTTCGAACAGTTTTTCGTTTCCTTTCAGAGTTCGAGTTACCGGGATTCTACTGTACTTAGAATACTTACTAGTCATTAAAAATTAGTAGAAACCAGTCGAAGAGGGTGACAAGCGCGTGGACTGAAATTTTCACACTGTCCTCGCTCAATTCGCTCACTTTGCTTTCTCTGAGGAAAACGAGAGAATACTCGAGTCTATCAATCTATGGTCTGTCCGTCCGAAAAAGTGGACGCTGTAGACGCATGACCTTTGTAGAGAGGTTGTGACTGTACCTTCAGAGCAATGCGATCAGCTAAAATTACAGTAGTAATTAAATGCTCGGCCAAATACAATGATGAAGACTGCCAAAACTTAAAGATGTAAAATTAGGATTTAATGGAGCCCAAAACAATTGTAGAATTGTACGAACCTTAGGCATCCTCTACCGATGAATGGTTATAACTGCGGGAGCAACAAACATTTTAAGTCTGTACCCTGTTAATTCACTAATCAGTATAATTATTCAATCCTCTATCTGCATAATTCCTCGTATCATTCTCAGCTTCATTCAATAACAGTTATGAACTTTTTAGCAAAAACTGAAATCGCCCTTTTTTCTTTGCTGACTTTTTTTAGTTGATTCGGCTACATACATCATGCTCTACTTTCCGCTCATAGACATTAAAGAAAATGTTGGTGTTATCCACTTCTAATAAACTTGAATGAATGAGTGAAAAAAAGTAAGGTCTTAGTAAATCAAGTATACTATTAAAGCAAATACAACTTGAAGAGCAGTCCCCATGGTAACAACATCCTTTGCACTGCTGACCACCTCTTTATTGACATCGAACTTCACCTGCTCCAATTTAGGATAGTAATTATTCCAAAAAGACATTCGGCGAGAATTAAATGACGTCTTCAGTTTGGGACTTGTGTCCACTTTAAGGTAAGCTCTGTGACTCGAGTTGTATTTCTCCCACGCGACACCGCTGACTGAAGGATCGCCGGACCGGGCAAAGTTTGCATACATGGTCATAATAAGCAAACTGACATTTCTGTCAGCGGGACTATAAAGAGATAAAAATTTCGGGAGCAAAGGAACTCCGAAATCAAAGGGAACATTTTCGCTATGGACCACGCCCATCCAATCAGCACCCATACTTGTTTTTGCCCGATGAGCAAACTCATACATGTAAACAGGAGCGACCTGACTGTGAACATCAGCGACCTTGTGACTGGGAGCAAAGTAAAGGTTATCACCAATAAGATCAACAAGTTGACTTCTTAATGCGTATTTATTACTGTTGTCAGGCCAAGGGGTGTACATGAACTCTAAGGCATCGGCGAGAAGATCAGCATTCTTCTTCCGAAAACAAAGTGACGGATATTTAACAATTATTCCACAGACCAGAGCCGTGAACAGTGTGAAGAAATCCGAGGCACTTGCCTCACTAGTTTTATTTTGAAGGGAAAAGTAAACCAATGCGTGCAAAAGAAACACAAGCGAAGAAATAAATAAATGCAAAAAGGGAATAATGAGACACAGAGGGAAACACCTTGTCTAGCCCTTGGGATATGTGAATTTCACCAAAGTTATTTTGAGACCGATAAACGCTTGAGTTATAATCGGAGGATGGTCTCCAGAGAGGAACAGAAGTCGCTATTACTCTCTCTTGATAAATGTTAATGCAACATGGTTGGTGGCATGTTATGACCCCGGGAGGTTACTTGCTTAGGTTATATGACTTGTACGGGGATGTGGTGCCGCTGGACAGGGTGTGGTTCTTGACCGTTCTGTCCTAAACAGGGTACATAATAACCTACGACTGAGTATATTTCGGTAGTGGTTACGTTGTAGCGGATCAGTGTACAGCGTAGTGTAATTTATGGAGCGAAAATATATACAAGAACACCCGGGAACAATGAGACTACATAGCCATATTACAACTTTATCCTTTAATCAAGCTCCCAACCGAAGTCGATTGAAAAATTCAATTCAGTAAATGGTGCAGTACAAGTTTACTTATTTCATCAGACACTGTAACATGATTAGCCACTTTTATGATAAAACGTGATCTGTTCGTTTCACCAATTAAAATGAAATTGCCTTAAACGGTGACCAATGTCAGTTTTAGTGTTTTCAGGCTCTCATGCAATTGCAACAAGAAGAGTTACTCAGATTAGTTAGTTTATAGATTAGTTTAGTAGTTAAAAGAACAAGAATTCCAGTTATCGGGATACATTTCAGAGACTTTTTTGATCAGGGGAGTCGAAAAGGTGTTTTAGTTCGAGTTAGAGGTTAATCTGAGTTATCCGCGTTGGAGTTAACCGAGTAAAAATGACAGGAAAGGGAGGTAAAATCAAAGGGAAATTGAACTTAGTTAGAGTTAGCAAGGAGTTGGAGTTAACGGGGTCCTGCTGCATTGAGACTACTGAGCAAATATTTAATTTTCACTGATCTTACCTACTGTTTTGAACTTGCGCGAACTTAATAAGAAATGATTTGAACAAGGTCGGACTGACTCCATTGTCCACGTTCTCCATCAGCCCCAAGGAATTGTTGACCATGTCTCCGAGAAAAGTCGCCCCCTCGTTACTTGTGAAGGTGATGACAAGCGGCACTTGCTTAAATTCTCCTTTTTTCCTCAAAACCTGGGGTGTATCATGAAGAAAGTTTTTATCAACGACTGGTGCCCAGTAAAGATAATTAACGAAACCAAATTTGATGGACTCCGCGGCTTTTTGCATGTCTGACGCTGTTTTGCTGCGCATACAAGAAACCATTGCATAATGGTCACTGGATCCACAATTCAGTTTTTGTGCAAGCTCTTTTGTGAAACGGAGACCAAAAGACGTTGGCTGAATCGCAAAGGGACTTAAATCTACACCGCTCTCTGGAATAGCTTGATGAAAGAGATCACGAGATAGAGGCGATAGAAGATGGAGCCCCACGCTGGATCCTCCAGCGCTCTGTCCAAATATGGTCACTTTGCTGGGATTCCCGCCAAAATTCTGAATGTTTTCTTTGACCCATTTCAGTGCTTCCACTTGATCCAACATTCCATAGTTACCAGGTGCCGCCGAATCACCGGTCGTCAAGAAACCAAAGGGACCAATACGATACTGGATAATGACCACCACCACCCCATGGAGAGCCAAGATATCGCTGGGAGAAGTAATCGCTGTTCCTAAAACGTACCCTCCACCGTGAATGTAAACCATCACTGGCAAACTGAGGCTGATGTTCGGGCTGTAGATATCATGTTATAAGCAATCCTCGCTGAAAGTGAAATTTGAAGTAAAAGGCTTGATTACGTTTTCGGAAAGTTTGAACTGTAAGCAGACGCTCCCATGGGTTTTAGCCGAATAAACCTTTGGTTTCCACTCTCTTGGCGGTTGTGGGGCTTTAAACCTTAGCTCTCCAGTTGGTGGAGCGGAGAAAGGAACGCCAAGAAATTTGCTGACGGATTTGAACGGACCAGAGGCATTCGGATATAAAGTCACGAGTCCTTCGATATCTCCATACTTCGTTGACACTATTTCTGCTCGAACATGTAGCCAACATGCACAAAAGATAAAAAACGTTGCTAGCAGCATCTTTGAACACTTCTTCTTGTGGAGCTGTTTCTTTCGCTAATATGAAACAACGACCGAGCTTGACTTGTTGACACTCTGGCTAGCCAAAGAAAGGTTAAGTCAATAGTTTTAAGTTACCTTTCAACTCGCAGCGAGTCTTTTTATGGAATTTTTATAAAATCCTGGACGTCAATCAAACTTGATTCATGTACATGTGATGGTGAAAGAGTGCCGATATTTTACAGGAACACAATTTGAGCACCCCTCATTTTCCTTATTGGCGTTTTATTGGCCATGCAATCTGGCTGATAAAAATATATTTCTAAAAAGGTTACAAGAAAATTTAATGCAAACTATGAGAAAAATCTAGATCAGTTCACGCATCTTGACCCTGAATGATCGATCTGGGCCCAACACATGCAACTCAAGTGGCCCGGTCAAGTTGTCGAATTTCCTTTGTCTTATTGGGTGAGCGAGCCGGAGCACCTTAGATTTGCCAACTGTGCATTTTAAAGAACAAAAGCAAGCTTGTATTGTTCATGGCTCTCTCCGTTTTTCTAAGGATATTATTCACTGAGCTGGCGGTTTGAATACTGACAAACAAAGGTCTTTTGAAAACTATATCATATGACACATCATGCAATAATAACAGCAAAATGCCATGAAACTAAAACCTAATATCGTCCCACACATCGACATAAGAGACGGAAGTGGGTCTTTAGGGTCCTTAAATACGTGTATACTCAGCAAAACTTTTAAGGACCCATATAGTGGCATAGGCTGCGTAGCAGGCGCTTGGAAGTAGTGGGCACAAGAAAAAAAGGGCGCGCGGCGCTTGACCTTGTCACGGTTTTCGACGCCATCTTGACGAGTAGGCAAACGCGTGAGAAATTACAGTGTTTGTATGAGAATCCAATGTCGAATAATTTCCTTAAAAAGCTGTTCTGGAAAAAATATGAACTGTAAACTAAAGCTACAACTATGCTTAAATTTCTCCAGAAGCTTGCTTTAGATTTTCCATATATTTTTCTGCAATTTTTCACGGGAAATTTTTACAGACAGATGTATAGAAAATTTTTAAAAAAGGTTCTAGGTCTTCTAGCGCACGTAACGCCCTCAATTTTTTTCAGTAGAATTCTTAAGAGTGAAGCTTTAGTTTACGGTTCATATGTTTTTTAAAACAGCCGTTTTACGGAAATTATTCGGCATTAGATTCTCATACAAACACTGTAATTTCTCACGGGTTTGCCTACTCGCCAAGATGGCATCGAAAACCGTGACAAGTTCTATTGTTTTTCCTTAAGGTTGATTTCCACGGACGCTTTCATTGGCTACGCACGTTAACGCACGTAAATTTTAATCACGTAAATAAAATTGAGGGAAGATAAAAAGTGCTGAGCTTAAGCGTTAAGTTGAGCGAGGTTTAACTTTTACGCTTACGAGCGACCTTTCATGTATTGCCTTTATTTTATTTGCGAGCGTAAATTTTAGGCACCTACGAACGTAAAAATTACGCGACACCGGTAATCAACCCTTACAATTATCCATACGGGACTTGTCAGAAATTAGCAGGGGGGAGGGGGTGGAAACAGAGGGAGGGTCACAACTTTTGGAGAGTGCAGAAAAGGGAGGGGTCATGAAAAATGGGCCGTTAAAAGGGGGAGGGTCATGCAAATGTTCCGTGATCATGTAGAGGTCACATCCACAGAAGAAAAAGGAAGTTCTTTATTTTGGACCCTCTTAAGACGAGAAGAGAGAAACATATCGTCAAACTTGTCAAGAATTGTCTTGATGGACAAGCTCCAAGTTATTTCTCAGATGATTTTCGACGGCGAACTTATGGTATTCAAGACTATGACACTAGGTCTAAGAATAGGTTATCTATTGATAAAGTCAATCACGAGTTGACTAAGAGGGCCTTTTTTTATATAGGGGGGCTACCCTCTTTAATGATTGTATGTAATGTATCCCAGTTTCATATATAATTAATGTTTTTATCTTTTTATTCATTTATTTTTATACATATTGATAGCAGTTTTTATAACTGAAATGGTCATCCTGTTTAAACATGTTATTATTATTATTATTATTTGTAAAAAAAAAACCTGGGAGAAATAGGAGAGTCGAGTGATCAGCTGTCAGAATCAGAGTCGGACTCTTAATGCTGTCATCTAAAATGTGTGTATATGGCATTACAAAGAACAAATTAGAAATATATTTTGAGCTTTCATAATACCGACTCACCCTAGTGTATTGCAAGAACTAGATTTTATCTTTTGTACAAGAGGGGGAGGGTCATGATATTTTAGGTTAACGGGAGGGTTAGCAAATTTCACTCCCATTGCAGGGATGGGTCACCTCATTTCCAAACCCAAATTTAAGCCATCGTCCACACGTATCCGGAAGTTTGTGAAAACGCAATTTTTTTTTTTTTTTTTTTTTTGAATACGGCTTGCGTCCACACGTATCCAGCGTATTTTCCGGCCGTATCCGCAAATTTTTGAAAACGCTCTCCAGACTGGAAATTTTTTTCATCCGATACGATTACGTATACGTGTGGACGGTCGTATCCGGAAATTTTCGAATACGCTTTCGTCATTCTCTTGGATCCAGTCTTCACGGCGAGCATTATAAACAAACATGGCGTACAGCAAGGTTGTAGCTTCTTTGTTAGTTGCTCTGATTTCTAGTTTGATATCATGCGTTCAGATAAATGCAACTGTGATACATTTACACAACCAATACATTAGAGATCGACAGGATGTTTTGAGATTGTTATCAATGAACAGTGGGCATCATAAAGTCAAAAAAAGAGCGAACCATCACCGAAGGCGATTCTGGACGCGACCAGGAAGGACAAGCGCATGGTGGGACAATTTTATCAATGGCACAATGATCGATTTATGTGTAACAGCGTACTTTTTGTTGACCTTTTCAGTAGATTTAGACATTTTTTCGAGTGATAAACTACAAGCTTCGACTGTTGAAACCTCGCAGTACCTATGGCGCGAAAGTAATCGGAGACCAATGTTTTGCGCACAGGATTCTGGAATTGCCAGGGGGCAAACATTGCGGGTCGCTACAAAGAAATGTATGGCGTGGAGTTGTTTCTCCGTTAAAAGCAGTGTCTTTGGACAGAGAATGCCGCATTTTGCCGTGATTTTATGAGAAATGGAGGTGACTAATGTTGGTGCATTGAAATTTCAGTGGCATAAGGTGAAAGCAAGTTATAGGGTCCCGGTTGAAGATAGCGTCACTGAGCGGGATTACGGGTCATTGCGAATACCATATCACAATTATTGTGGACTTAAAAATCTGATTAATGTAACTCACCTCGACGAGATTAAGCTAAAGATATCGAGACTAATTCATGCAAATTGAGTTGGTTCCTTCGTTAGCAATGCAGAGTTTGTACGAAAAGTTGTGGCAGGGATGCCATCCCTAGGCTTGGTGGGGGATCTTGAAATTTTTGGAAAGAAAACGAGGAAATGATAAATGTGTGAGTAGGCAGGAAGCTGGGTTACCAATTTTTTGTGCTTCTGCAATAAAAATAAAAAAAGCCTTTGAATAACCTGAACATGATCAATAAAACAGGGATGGGCATAATGTTCAGAACAAGGGTATTAGCAAAACAAAGTGAACAAGACACAATAAATACGTCAGTTTGTTATATAACTTTAAGAGGTTGCTTTTGCAATTGGGTATTGGGCATTAAGGGCATACTGAACTCACTGCGATGGTTTGCTCGAGTGGCCATCAAACAGTAGCTTCCCAGGGCACAATTGCCCAACTTCAGTTCATTGAATCAGTTATATGGTGTTGGATTTTAAATTGCTGTGAGTACCGCCGGGAAAATAACATACGGATTATTGCCGACTTTCAGAGAAGTTCAACTTTACTTTCCTGAGCTCAGAGCAATAAGCAGATATAAGCTAAAAAGACAAGTAAATGCTAATAAAGTAAAATCGCAACAAATTCAAGACTGCCAGATCTGATACCTTTCCAAAAACTGTTTCCTTTATTAAGTTCATTTGAATTAAGTCATGGTCTACTTCCCACCGAGAGAGATTGGGGAACAGACCTAATCCTATATGCACTTGTAATTGACTAAAATAAATGAATACATAATGCAAAGCAAGGTCTTAAGCCCAGTAAACATTTTTTAGAAGCGCACGGTGACATACATCTTCTTAGTGAGGGTCAATTTCGCGTTATCAATAAGTGCCACGGGAAATTTGACTGCCTCGTAAATCTTATTCATCAAACTGAACTGAGGCCCAGACTTAACACTTAGAGTGACTCAATCAGTGACTCAATCAGTGCTAAACTCTTTGTTTTTAAAACTTGTAACATATTTTTTATATGTTACTTTTCTTTTTAATGAGCTATTGTTTTTCTTGCATTTATAGGACATTCATACTGCATTGTTTACTTTAAAATGGCCTTTTAGGACGTCGAAACGTAGTATATTTTCAGACTTTTTTAATGTTTTAAGAAAAGTTTTTTTCGCATTTTTTTATGGCTGAATGTTTTAAAGTCGCTTCTTTTTGAACAATTATAGTTTTACAAAATAAAATCGTAGTCACTACTGAGTATAAATCACAGATTGAGCAGAAAGTAGACACAATCAGGTACCTTCCAAGACAGCACTGCCAAATGTTTTCAATGCGATACCACACCATATTTGGAACTCCCCAGAATTTAGTCATGTTAAGAGTCAGTTGACAAGTAACCTTAAAGCTAAGCCGAAGGGCAAGGCTGTATTCTTAGTGACCTTTTCATTAGTTTTTCTTTTTCACTAGCTTTTCTTTAATTTTGGAACTAGTCGTTTTATTATCTTTTCACTGTTCATAGTTTTGTAGTAATGATAATTTATAACCAATTGATGAGTAGATTAGTAGGTTAGGTTATCGGTAGTAGTCACAGATAAAGAGCCGTATTTTTAGTTTATGGATACAGTGAACCCCTTCTTACGGCCACCTCATTATTACGGCCACTTTTTTTTGGCCGCCCGGCAAAACGACCATACATTTTCAGGGGCGGATCAAGGGGGAGGGTGCAGGGGGTGCGCACCCCCCTCCCGAGATGACACGCAGTTTTCTAATACAACTGGTATTCTGCAACAAAAAACTATGTGGTTTATTGGTGTTGAAGTAGAGCAAGAGACGAGTGCACCCCCTCTTAAAAAAGGTCCTGGATCCGCCCCTGATTTTCTTGTAAAAAAAAAACCCTCGTTAATACGGTCACCCGCTAATACGGCCAAATTTTTTTGGCCCATTGGTGACCGTATTAACGAGGCTGTACTTTAAATAAACCATTATAATTAGTCGGACTGACTCCGTTGTCCAAGCTCTCCATCAGCCCAAAAGAATTGTTGACCATATCTACAAGAGATGTCGCCCCCTCGTGACTTGCAAAGGCGATGATAAGTGGCACTTGCTTGAAATCTTTCTTTTTCCTCAAACTTTGGGGTGTATTAAGAAGGAAGTACTTGTCTACAACCGGTGCCCAGTAGAGATAATTAGAGAACTCAAATTTGATTGACTCTGAGGCTTTCTGTATGTCTGAAGCTCTTTTGTTGTGTATGCAGGAAACCATTGTGTTGTGGTCGCTTGCACCACAGTTTAGTTTTTGTGCAAGCTCCCTAGCGACCGGAAGACCAACAGACGTTGGCTGAACCGCAAAGGAACTTAAATCTACACCGCTCTCTGCAATGGCCTGATGAAAAAGATCACGTGACAGAGGAGACAGAAGATGGAGACTCACGCTGGATCCGTCAGCGCTCTCTCCAAATATCGTGACCTTGTTGGGATTCCCGCCAAAATTCATAATGTTTTCATTGATCCACTTCAGTGCTTCCACTTGATCCAACATTCCATAGTTATCAGGTGCCGCTGAATCACCAGTCGTCAAGAAACCAAAAGGACCTAGACGATACTGGATTATGACCACCACCACCCCCTGGAGAGCCAAAAAATCGCTAGGATAAGTGATCGCTGTTCCTATAACGTAACCTCCACCGTGAATGTAAACCATCACTGGCAAACTAAGGCTGATGTTCGGGCTGTAGATATCAAGATATAAGCAATCCTCGCTGAAAGTGAAATTTGAAGTAAAAGGCTTGATAACGTGTTCGGAAAGTTTGAACTGTAAGCAGACGCTCCCATGGGTTTTAGCCGAATAGACGTGTGGTTTCCATTCTTTTGGCGGTTTGGGGGCTTTAAACCTTAGCTCTCCAGTTGATGGAGCGGCGAAAGGAACGCCAAGAAATTTGCTGACAGATTTGAACGCCGACCAGAGGCATTCGGATACGAAGTCACGAGACCCTCGATATCTCCATACTTAGTTGACACTGTTTGTGCTCGAACATGAAGCCAACATGCACAAAAAAGAAAGAATGTTGCTAGTTGCATCTTCGAACACTTCTTCTTGTAGAGCTGTTTAGTCTACCAAGATCAAAAAGCAGCAGAGCTTGACTTGTTGACACTAGCTAAATGAGGGTCAAATGAACAATCCTAAATTAATTTTCATCTCCGAGCAGCGGGCCTTTTTAAGACCCCTTATCTGCTTTTTGCTCACCATGCAATATGACTTATGAAACATATTTCGCAAAATGTTAGAAGCTGATTTACTACAAATTGTAAAAAAAAGATCAGAAACTAAAGTAGTGCAAGCATTTTACCTTAACCGTGAATTACCTACAGTGTACCTTCTAAAACTTCTTTACTTTAATTAGTTTACTGCGTGATCGCCGATCGAGCGCTCGTCGGATTCGATGACTGCGCAATTTAGAGAACAATGGCAAGCTGACTGGGTCTAAATGATACAATTCATTAAGTGGGAAGTTTAATTAGAAATAAAACTCATATGAATACAGTATATCACGACAGATCATGCAAGCAGCAAAATCACTGACCCACCCATAACTGACATCATCGCCATCATTTTTACGCTAGCCGTTTTTTTTTTTTTCAGAAGGCGTGCTTCTGAAGTATCGAGTTAACAGAATTTATACGCTCAACTTTGGCTCAATAGTCCATTCAAACGTCGAACTTAATTTAATCGTGCTTGACCAGAAGGTCCATTATTCTTGACAGTATGATATGGCATATGATGGCAGCCATCTACAAACCCTGGATTTCTGAGATCGCATCAATCCCTGAAGTCTCTAAATGACGTAAGTTTAGGGCTACGGTTACAGGGCTCGTGGTACCTCATAGCGAATAATAATAGATCCCAATTAAATACATTTTAATTAAATTCACTTGGCAAGCAAAGATAAGATTAAAACGTCGCGCAAGCGTCAACCTAATTTAAAGTTAAATTGAAGTGGGTTCGACCAAGGCTGTTTTGGAACCCCGGGGGGTGGGTACTGCCACATATGGGCTACATAGGTATGTGCGTCTGTGAAGGGTATGGTTTTCAAGCAGTTTACTCTGGGATAGGGTTTATAAATCAGAGAGTTTTGGTCTAGAGTAGGGTATCATTTTGCATGAAACAGATCAGTTGGTTGAAGATTTTAGTCTAGACTAGGGAAACCGGGAATTGCCTCTCAAAAATTAAAAAAAAATCAAATCGGCAAGTTTAAATTTATGCAACTCAGCCTAAAAGGTACTCTAGGATAGGGGGGATTTGGGGAGTTTAGTCTAGTATAGGGCAGCAAAATTCACTGAACTAGCTCTGGTGTAGGCTAAGGGTTCCAGGGCCCGGTTGCATAAAACGTCCGTAACAACTACGGGTACACGTACGTGCACTCGTAACTTAAGTCAGTTGCATGAAATCACTTAAGTGGTCCACTTAGGGAATTCACTTAAGTGGTTGCACTTACGATTTTCGTAAGTGTTCACTTAAGTGTCGTTTATGCAACAGAAATTGCGGGTGTTGCATAAAACTTTTTTTACGGGAAAAATAGCACGTAAATTTACGGGACCTATGTAGGTCCCGTATCGTCACTGTTTTTACTAAATTTAACGAGATCTTTTACTGAGAAGTGAAAAAAAGTATTTTTCTTCACATAATTCGTTCTAATGCGCTTTGTTAACCTCTGATGTACACTTTTGTGAAAAAAGAAGAAGAACTATCATTTTCAGTAGATATTGAAGAAAAATAACGTTTGCATGCAAATTTCATTTTTTGAGAGGCTTAAAAGTGTTGGAAACGACTTTTAACTTTCTTTACACTCACCTATGGTTAGCTTAAAAAAAAGAGTGAATCGTTAATAAAGTACTATATCAAGGTTACGTGTGCCCTTAAGTGAGCCCGGAAGTTACCACGTAAAACAGAAACTTACGAGAGTGGTAAGTGTGTTCCATGCAACACCCGTAAGTGTACCCATAACGGATTCGTAAGTGACCTACTTAAGTGAGCATTTAAGTGCAGGTTTTATGCAACCGGGCCCAGGGCCCGGTTGAATAAAACGCTCGTAACAACTACGGGTACGCATACGTGCACTCGTAACTTAAGTCAGTTGCATTAAATTACTTAAGTGGTCCAATTAGGGAATTCACTTAAGTGGTTGCACTTACGATTTTTGTAAGTGTTCACTTAAGTGTCGTTTATGCAACAGAAATTGCGGGTGTTCGGCATAAAAACGTTTTTTCGGAGAAAAATAGCACGTAAATTTACGGGACCTATGTAGGTCCCGTATCGTTACTGTTATTACTAAACTTAACGAGATCTTTTACTGAGAAGTGAAAAAGAGTATTTTTCTTCACGTCATTCGTTCTAATGCGCTTTGTTAACCTCTGATGTACACTTTAAAGCCGACGTTGTGAAAAAAGAAGAACTATCATTTTCAGTAGACATTGAAGAAAAACAACGTCTGCATGCAAATTTAATTTTTTTGAGAGGCTTAAAAGTGTTCGAAACGACTTAAAACTTTCGTTACACTCACCGATGGTTAGCTTAAAAAAAAAGAGTGAGTAATTAATGAAGTACTATATCAAAGTTACGTGTGCCTTTAAGCGAGCCCGTAAGTTACCACGTAAGACAGAAACTTACGAGAGTGCTAAGTGCGTTCCATGCAACACCCGTAAGTGTACCCATAACGGATTCGTAAGTGACCTACTTAAGTGGGTACTCAAGTGTAGGTTTTATAGGTCCCAGCGGCACATCCCCACAATGACAAAAGTTTCGGCTCGGGCCTACGTTTACAGGGGTTGGTACTCAAAGCGAATACAGTAGAACCCCGATAACTCGAACTCAGATAATTCGAGCTCCCTGCTAACTCGATCAAAAAGTCACTGAAATTTTCCCCGATAACTCGAATTAGGGTTCTTTTAACTACACTCGGATGCCATCCCATTAGCTCTTCTTGTTGTAAAGGGTCTGAAAACACTAAAATTAACACTGGTCACTATTAAAGGCAATTTGATTTAAAGTGGTAAAACGAACAGATCACGTTTTATCGTACCGTTTCTGATAAAATAATTAAATTTGTGCTCCACCATACACTGAAGTAGTGAGAAAATCAGTAAATATCAATTTCGAACATGGCATATTGAATTTTTCAATCGACCCCGATAACTCGAACCCTCGCTAGTTCGAACTGTTTTTCGTTTCCCCTCAGAGTTCGAGTTACCGGGATTCTATTGTTCTTAGAATACTTACTAGTCATTAAAAATTGGTAGAAACCAGTCGAGGAGGGTGACAAGCGCGTGGACTGAAATTTTCCCACTGTCCTCGCTCAATTCGCTCACTTTACTTTCTCTGAGGAAAACGAGGGAACACTCGAGTCTATCAATCTATGGTCTGTCCGTCCGAAAAGTGGACGTTGAAGACGCGTGACCTTTGTAGAGAGGTTGTGAGTGTACCTTCAGAACAATGCGATCAGCTAAAATTACAGTAGTAATATCATAGGTGAGGAATTACTCCTTAATTTTGGCGCGAAATTTCAGCGTTAATTTGTAATTACAAAATTGGCATGGCAACCATTCCGTACGTCTCAGTGTCAAGATGGCGACGAAGTTTTAAAATGCCGTGAATGAAGATGTCAGGGCACAAAAAGACGCTTTAGAAAACGTGAACAAACAAGAGAACATCAAGAAGAATTCTAACAGGTATTTTGCCGCAAAATTCTGAACTTTATAAGCCAAATTTAAGGTCTAAACATTTGAGAGAGTGGAGTTCTCGATCGATACGATCCAGGATAAACATGTCAAAAATCCAAGATTGCTAACGTAATTCGTCACCCATGATATTAATAGGTAATCAAATGGTATACTCGTGAAATTAGGGAATAATTTCACTTGCGTTTTGTCCAAATCCTCATAATTTCCCGAGCCTACGCGAGTGAAATTATTCCCTAATTTCACTCGTCACCATTTGATTACACATACTAATTAAATGCTCGGCCAAATGCAATGAAGACTGCCAAAACTTGAAGAAGTAAAATTAGGATTTAATGGAGCCCAAAACAATTGTAGAATTGTACGAACCTTAGACATCCTCTACCGATGTATAGTTATCTGAATTGCAGGAGCAACAATCATTTTAAGTCTGTACCCTATTAATTCACTAATCAGTATAATTATTCAATCCTCTATCTGCATAATTCCTCGTATCATTCTCAGCTTCATTCAATAACAGTTATGAACTTTTTAGCAAAAACTGAAATCGCCCTTTTTCTTTGCTGACTTTTTTTAGTTAATTTGGCTACATACATCATGCTCTACTTTCCGCTCATAAACATTAAAGAAAATGTTAGTCTTATCCACTTCTAATAAACTTGAATGAGTGAGAAAAAAACAAAGTAAGGTCTTAGTAAATTAAGTATAACATTAAAGCAAATACAACTTGAAGAGCAGTTCCCATGGTAACAATATCCTTTGCACCGCTGACCACCTCTTTATTGACATCGAACTTCACCTGCTCCAATTTAGGATAGTAATTATTCCAAAAAGACATTCGGCGAGAATTAAATGACGTCTTCAGTTTTGGACTTGTGTCCACTTTTAGGTAAGCTCTGTGACTCGAGTTGTATTTCTCCCACGCGACACCGTTGACTGAAGGATCGCCGGACCGGGCAAAGTTTGCGT